GTCAATGCCACATGGTGGATATATGTCGTTATTTGATAGGGGGAGGCACTCAAGTCGCCTCCTTCATTACAATACGTCATCAGCCGCCATGGACGCTCCCGTCTGAGTGTTAACGCACGGGGCAGAAGGGTCCCCAATGCGCAAGGACCACCGATAGTTCTTAAAAAATTATTTGATACTAAATTATGGAGAAAAAATAAATTAAAAACGGCATAAAAGTTATGTATGATTAATCTATACGCAAAAAATTGGTGTAACGGACAGATATGTGACGCATCATTGGATATTTACATGGAATGTTGCTTGTTGATGGCAGAATGTCACTCAGTGATGAGACGTTACTTTTTTTACCAATACTTGTCTTTACATTGAGGGGAGGGAGATCTATGAAAGTAAGGGTAGGAGGCCCCCAAATTAACGTAGGCCCAAGGGCCCCCAACGCTGTTCAAACCGCCCTGCCTGGGCTACCTGGTGAAAATCGACTAGAAAGTGATTCGCGACAATGCTGGAGTAACCGTGCGATTGCATGTGGGAATAGAGGAATTCTTCCCCAACGGCAAAGCAGCGGCTGCGACGGGGCGGGGTGGGCGAGTTGGCAGCCATGACTCGGCAGGCTACCTGCGCGCGACCCGATGACGCAAACGCTGACGAACGGCCGACATGCTCTCGCGAAACAGCGCAGAAACCCGCGACCCAAGGCGCAACGAGTCTCTGCCCAAGCCTCATGGGGTGCTTATTGTGAATGTTCCCTTTGTAGTATTTACCAGGCGCGATCAACGGTATTCATTTACGTATATCAGCAGTGCTGACATCCTATTTTTTTAAAATAAATTTATTTAAATTGCAATTGGGTATAACCCAATGGTAACTAATTACATAAGTAAGATTCTATAACTATCATACAAATTATATAGTAATAATAATAATAATAATAATAATAATCACTGTAACAATAGTAACAGCTGAAAAGAACAATAATATAAATAATAATAAAAAACTGAGTGATTCATAAAACATAAAATTACCTCAAAAAAACGAAAGTGCTATAATCTAACTTCACACTGAATGTTTGCTCAATTAAGAGCACACTGCACCGTCACTTATATCACTTCCTTCATTATTACTTTGCTCTACACTGCACGACACCTCAACTCACAATATATTACTTATGGTTCGCTCTATACATACTATTTTTAGTTAAGTCCCTTATTTACTTAGCAATATCCTAAATTAATTCCCTAAATTAACAATGGGTTGTCTTCTTTGATTTCCAATAACGTCTTTTTTAATTTCAATAAAATAAATGGACCATTAAATAAGGTAATATGCCTTTACAGAAAAGTTCATTCAACATGCTGTGGATACAGTAATTTAAGAACTGAAATATTCTAACTGAAGTTTACAAAGGCGATTACAAAGCTTGTTGATTCTGTGAATAGTCTGTTCTTCTTTCTGGAGCGTGTTTTAGTGGCCGTGTGTTGTCCAATACGCAGCCAGCCAGGATTTTAGAAAATTAGTCGCCCATCAATCAACAAGAGCATCAAATGAGGGGAGATGGTCGCAATGACAATGGGAGGACAATTCATAGCTACAGTAATCAACTGATTTTGCGTACCACAAACATTTTTACAACCTATTCGCACGAATCCGTGTGATCAGGATGAATGACAGAAGTGTCAACGAGGGAATTCTAGGCATTTTTACTAATTGATGAGCATATCGATCTTTGTTTTTCCTCTTCGAACAAGTTAACGTCATCAGCGATCCTTGTCCTGCAACAGTCCTTCATGTGCGTATGAGCTCGCATAAGATACAAGAGTATGCATTTGATGCACGAGCAGTAACGGATGAATCAGCGCTTAAAAATAACCTGTCCTTCGAATCACAAACTACTCTAGCAAATCACGTTGCAAAGCCTTGCCTTCTCTCGCCGTGCTACTCGGATCGGACAAGGCCACTCAATCAACCGAAAAGTTTTCTCGAACAGTCTCTGGGAAACTGCAAAATACTCTTTGGTCACAGCGCGCAGTTGTCGTTCAAGGTTCCAACAGATTTAAAGAAAATGCGCGACGAAGTTGGCAGATTTCATTTATTTCATCAGTCTTCGACTGAAAATCGAACTGCGAGTAGGAAACGTGGTGTAGCAACGCGAGGTCGATAGGCCGAGTGGCAGTTCTACGAGCAAAATAAAATCACTTTAACCACGTGAGTCATATGCTATTTTTCGACAGCCTTACAGACAATAATTTTCTTTTATTTTAAGTATAGGCAGCAGTTATGTTGGTTTGTAGATATTTTTAAAAAACGTATAGGGCGCACAGGGATTAAGTCTTCCGATTGAGCCACAAATCCTTTCGGAAAGCGTTCTATTCCAAAGAAAATGCTGGCTATATGAGGACGAATTAGAAACAGTTTAGCATTTCATTCTACACTATAGTAATTTACAGCTAAAGATCTGTTTTTCCTTCGAAATCAGTGATTTATCTAGCTTCTTTTTCAACATATCTCAATTATTGTAAAAGTATATGGCCTGATACCTTCTCTAGAAAGCATCAAAAGATAATTGCGAAATAAAATATCGAGTCCGACCCTGGCATTGGATGGTCCACGTTTCCCTGGGCGGCCACCGGCGGCGCTGCAATAGCGCGCAGATCGTCGCGAAGGCTCCGGGAGACACCATTAGAGAAAATTGCGCTCGTCCCAGAAGGCGGTGTATTGAATCGGGGCAGGCGACACGACGCTGCCTAACGACAAAACGAAGGCGGTGGGGCGGCGACTCCCTCTGACCTGCGACGCCGATGTTTTGCCTTCGCCCCCGCCCCCGTTCCACGTAGGGATACGACATCGCCGTCAAAACATCGAGATGTTTCAAAATTAGAGTCTAAAATATTACAGATTTCTTCAGCAATTCATTTCCACATAGGTAAGCAGAACCTGCAGCGTGAAAGGTTAAAAAAAGTTACCCCTTAGAGGCAAACCGATGAGTCTTTTCTTATTTACCAACTATATAACTCTCAATATTGTATTGTATCTTTAACTAGAATTTTATATACTGTGTGCCATATGATATCTTGCAAAAATTCTCTATCTATAGCATTAGTCTAACACGGCTGCAGAGGGCCAAAACACCACTGCTTCAATAAATGTTTCAAAAGGTGTCAAAATGACATTCCTAAATATTGATGCTCAAAAATAAAACATTAGTTAAATAAAATATTAACACAAAAACATCCATTATATTAAACATCAATGTTTACAATACTGAGTTAGTAACCGTAGAAGTTAACGCTGGGGGATAGGCAGTTTGAAAGTAGTCTCGTTTATTAATTTTTAATTAATTAATATTTATTTAATTTTTTTAATTAACTGACATTACAATATCAAAAAAACATCAGGACAAGTAACAAAGCTGATAACCTGATTCGATTATTCAAAAATAATAGGGACTTCTTGATTGGCGAAAATTTTATTTCATTTATTTTTCACCCTAACTCAGTTTGGTAAAAAAATATTCAATTCATGGATATCTGAAAATCACTACAGAATTTTGTTTCAATGGACTTATTTCATTTCAAATATATAGACCACGAAATATTGATGTTAAAGAACATCAGCTTAAAACATTGACGTTTTATGTATCGACGATATCACAAAAACATCGATGTTTTGTAAACATCGACATCAACTTTAGTAGAGGGGATCACAAGTTCAAAATTCAGTTCAGATCACAGGTAATAAAAGTTGCAAAATTTTTCTTAATAACAATTACGGATTGGAATAAGTTGCCTCCGACAGCCTGGGAACCTTTTCCTCTGTGTATTCAACGATTTAAAAGTAAATTAATTAATGATATTTTATAAACTTTATTAATTAGTTAATAAATTAATAATTAAGGCTTATTAACAGCCATAAAATTAGAGTTAATGCTATTTGGGGGGGCGCGAATAGTCCGTCTAGCAGAAATCTTCAGAAATAATAGATATCTATCCATCTATCGACGTCGCAGAAGAGAAGCACGGTGAACATTTTTTTCTCCAATTTTCATCAATTTCCTTCTCTGGGAAATTTGGGCGCCTGCGCTCTCCGCAGTTCGGTGACGGCGAGGTGGCTTCCACAGCGAGTGATTACCAAGGAGAAATATCACTCTCGTGTGACTCGAAAGGCAGAATGAAAAATGCCTCCATTTTGAAACGCCGAAACTTCGTCCCCAACCCTTTTCGCGATGCTTGCTTCAACTATATTATTTTCACATCATGTGCCTTATCATTTGTAAAACGTTTATTTCTTTTTGCTATTAAATCTTATTTATAAAAACGTGTCTGATAATGGACACGAAACTGTTCCTTTGTTTTTAATCAAATAATAATAAAATGTAAAGTGAGGAAATGTTCATTGCATATTCAAGCTTAGAGGAAAATTCCCACTTATGTTCATTCCTCATTCAAGGTTAGAGGAAAATTTACGTCTTCAGATGAAAAATTATATAAAATATAGTTATCTTACTCTCGTCTCATCCTCTTACACACACACACACACACACACACACACACACACACAAATACACACACTTACTTTAAGAAATCCGCAAATGTATCTACAAGAACATTTCGATGGAATCACATTAATTGAATTGGGATTTGTTTGGTCGTTCCATTGTTAATCGATCATTCCAACTGACATTGTCCAAGAATTTCATCACTACACTCACTAAAACACATTATTTGAGTGGGCTTTAGATCAATCTAAAGTTCACTCAATATACGAATTCGAAGGATTACAGTGATGGATTTATCATTTTCTTTTCATTGCCCTATCAAGCCGGACCGCATGTATGAACTCCCTAACACCCACGCCCAAAATTGTTGTGACGTTTCGCTTCGGAAAAAACGTCAATTTTTACTCAAAGAAACAAATATTAATTCAAATTATTATAATTACAATAAATTCCAAATACAAATGGTCATTAACAAACTGAAAATTGAACAGAACTTACCTTTTACCTTCTCGAACTGTCTGCTTTGTTCGTTGGCGCCGATCCGCGGCCCGCCCGCTGGGTGCGCGCTGCGAACCCCGCGCCGGCCGCGTCCTCACGCGGGCCGCTCCGAGTTTCTTTCCGGAGGCAGCGCGGGAATTTCCGGGCGCAGAACACGCCCCGCCTCCTGCGAGCACCCGGAACTTCCTTAGGACGCGAGCGGATAACAGGCGCCGCTCAGCTCAATCGCCGTCGTACTTCGTTCGCCTGAACCGCGGACCCAGTTTCCGTGCTAAGGCCCACGAGGCGTTTTCCATTGAGTTTATTTTGCGCGACAACAGGTAGAGGGCGCGTGAACGGAGAAACTGGCAGCTTATGGTCAAAACGTAATGTGTCCCATTATTATCGAATGTAGTTCTCCAACGATGATTTCAAATGTTTCTGCATAATTAACTGCTGTGACGAATCCGCTATACTAACTTTAAATTTGTTTCTTGTGTTGAGTTCAAGAGACCCACTTAAAATTTAAAAATATTAAAATTAGAAAAAATTCAATACAGTTATGATTTTGTTTTAAACAATGGTATATTAGAACATCAACATTTATCACAACTTTATTTGTAAGAAAAAATGAATTTTAGCAGTTCTTCAGTTTTAGGGATTAAAATATTCTTAAAAGCAACTCATACGAGAAATTTGTTTTTCTACGCACTTGAAATATTTTCCTGCAATACTCATTTTGTTACGGATATTTTCGGCGACACTACCCAAACAAAAGCAAAAATCCCCGCCTGAGATTGATTATAAGTGTTCGGAAGTAGATTTACTTTTCATGAAAAGGCATAAACAAATGTCTAATATTGAATACCGCCATAATAAATCTCGATTTACTCAAGTCAACAAAAGTTTCCAGGGTACAAATAAAAATATATTTAAATTATTTTCATATAGGTCGTAGGAACATTTCAAGGTGGGAAATAAATTGTTAAGAGTTGTAGACATTTCGTTACTTATCTCCATCTGGAAACAACCTATTCACAACTCTCTGTAAAACCTGCTTTACATGAATTATACACCGTATATAACATTATAAATCTGCAATAATCTTGTAAACAATTATATCGTCATGAAATTTTTTAATGATTGAATTTTGTATTTTGAATGAATGATTTTTAAGAGCATTATGGGATAGATTATTATTCAGGGACGTCCATGGCAATCGGGATTCTCTTAAAACTTCTAAACAAAATGTGTTTTTTCTTCATCATGAATACTTTGGACGGATGTGAACAAATAAATAAATATAATTTAAATAATATATTAATAAATATAATAATTATAATAAATAAATATAATTTATTTATTATAAATAAAAATTTTCAGGGGTCCGTGATTGAAATACATTTTGGCTGATGTGGGTATTCCCAAAGGAATTATTAAACTGTTCCATATTGCTTTTATTATTATTATTATTATTATTATTATTATTATTATTACATGAAAAATACCCGTTTATTTTCACTCGTTTTGTATTCGGTTTCAGTTGCCCACAAAAAGAACGTGTAATACTTGCAGGCGATAGTTAAATACCCTTAGCCCCTTTCCTGAGTCATCGTAACCGCAGATCAGGTTGGAACTTTCAGGCCGGTTCGCATGATCGCCGTCAATTTCACATGCTAATAGAGAGCGCGTTCGCGTGAAGTGAGGGAATTTACATAAAAGTTACTTCGGAAACGATTGCCATGCCGGACATGAAATATAATAACTAGAGGTCAATGTCCACCATTTCAAGATCTGCTCTGGCGAAAAGCCGAACGTAACCAGTATTACTTCCGGAAACTTTTAGTATTACATGCGTTTTCAGTATTTCATTAACACGGTCACAATTTATGTATTCAATATTAGCTTATGTTTTACTGAAACATTATGAAGTGTTCCTAATCATAACACACGAAAAAAGCATTACCGCAAGAAAGGATCGAACCTGGATAACCTAAGATATACAGCGTTACTTTGCAAACGCATTCTGTAACACTAGATGCATTAGATAATGGCAACAAGCCGTTTGTGACCCGTAATCACACAGCAATATCTTTCTCTACATGCTGTAACAACCTTCAGCCCTTACTTGATATACTGTAATACAGTATTACACCATAATTATCTGTAGATCGCTACGACGTGAAATCAACACAACGGCCTAGAGCTCTACTTATTTTAAAGATCTTCAATTAAAGAGCAAGGCTGTCTAAGGAAATTTTTTCTTGAAAATTCTGCTTTCTTGTACGTGATTACGTTGAGAAAGGACAAATGAAATAACTTAAATTGTAGATAAATTAAAATTGTCTAGAATACAAGGATCTACATTTTTTACCAAATCATATTATCATTAATATACTGCTATCAGATTTCATTTCAAGTTTTCTTCATTATGTCACAGATATTTTGGTTAATGGTACGTGTTTATATAATCTATTTTTGATCTATTTTCGTTTGATAATGTTATGATTAGAATGGGAAGAAAGCAATCATGCATTTGTGAACGTGCCACTTATCACGTTTGTGTTCCCCGCTGGCTGTTTACAAACGAACCTCTTATTTTCACACGGTTATCTCCACAATCAGATAACCTCGCAGTCCTCGAGGCAGTCGCCCTCCTCAGGGCGCCTCACAGCGCGAGCTGGTGGCGCGCGCCGCATCTGCGGCTCGGAGGAACGCGCGCTCGTGCGAGTCAACGCGGAGGGGGGAGGGGTGGGGAGGGGAGGAGAGGGGGAGGGGAGGGAGTCTTGCCAGGAACAACTGCTATCCACTTACACAGCAGCGAGCCATGGGCCACCCGGAACATTTTTGAATGAAGACCCGGAGAAATCTTACTCGATCGATTGATACATTAGTGATTCCGGGTGCGCCACCGGCTATAGGTCATTCGTCCGTAAATGTAGTGCTTGTTTTTATCGCGAGAGGTGTGGTGGTGGTGGTGACCTCTCCGCAGGAATAACGAGATCCCGTGTGACCTTCCCGTCGCCCCCCCCCAACTACCAATCTCCACTAGCGGGCACCCCCCAAACCGGGAGACTAGTCGGTCAAGATCCGACTGGCCTCAACACGCGTTGTAGCGGAAGTGGGCTGCGCGCGTGTGTGTGTGTGTGTGTGTGTGTAAGTAAGGGGTGATGATAGGACGAGAAAGTGGAAGAAGAGACCACACGTCGTCCGTGGCCCGTTTGATAGGGAACTGCTCCGGCATTCGCCTGGTGTTGATCGGAGAAATCAGGGAAAAGACCCATCAGAGCAGCCGACCACCAGAATTCTCCTCCAGACGACGGCTGAATTCGACCCAACTACCTAAAAAGTGTCGAAAATCCAGCCGCCACCACGATCCCGCTCAGAGGTTCTGCACTGACATCAATTGATGCCCGTAGGCACCAAAGCCAGTAATCGTACATAATAAAACATTTATTATTCCGTAAAAAGAATCCTGTTTTCACTAGACAATATAGAGAATCGTTTCACACACTTGGAGAAGAGGCTCACCAAGTCATCTGGAATTCTTTCAATGACTCAACAAAATATTAATTATATCAAAAATGTAAAAAAAATAGTTATAAAAAGTAACAAGATAGAAGAGGGACTCCTGAAGTGTACTTGGCCCATCTTGTTTTACACCGCGCACGCCTGTACTTCTACCCTCCTCAGCACCGGCAGGCGAACGTTTGCTTGCCTTTGCCTTCTATTCAGGCTCTGCTCTCCCATCCCTCTGACACCGCCAACGCAAATTTGCGTTCAATTGCCTCCTGTGCATTCAAATTGTATGGACAGTGCACGCAATTCAGTCACCACCGCCACCGTCACTTAACAGTCTCATATCAATGCCAGTTCGGTACCTCGAAAACATCAATAAGGAAGGGTAGGGAACAAATAAGGACCCCCGAATAACTTGCAATATAATTTATGGATTCTGTTGTATTTATTTAAGAACTAAATATACACAAAATCAAGGAAACAAATATTTTGATTATTTTCTGTTCTTGCTTCCCTTTTCACTTTTTCGCGTTTAAGTAGAAACGTCATAGGAAGACAAAGTTATGTAATGCTGCACGAAAGAACGGCTCATTTATGACAGAAAAACTCATTACAGGGCCCTGGTAACGAAAAAGTAGATAAATCCAATCCACCTGCTAAAATAAAAAAAAATCCTCGAACACGACGTGTAGCCAAAGTACACGCTTTCTGGCTCTTTGATTCCGAAAAATCTATTGACGGCAAAACGTCCGTCCGTGAACAACGCTAGCGGCTAAACCGTCCAGCCGACGTTTTCCAAAATTTATATTCCCCAATCGATCTAGCTGATGTCGTTGCTTCTTGAATTTGAAACTGTCATTTTAATTTTGAGGGTACCTCACATGAAGCCCCTGGGACATTTTCAAAATTTTCAAAAAAAAAATGTCGCCATCGATTTTTGAATAAATTTTGTTGTTGGATAGCCTGAAGGACGTTTAAGAGAATAGCGCAGATCTCTGAAGATATGACGACATATTAATGGTTCCAACGGTCAGTCCCAACCTCAAGAGAAGCTTCTCCATATTGTTATACGTCTAGAGTGCACACTTCTTTAGAATAGTCTCATCTTTTAGAACTGAGTGGTCATGTTCGCCAAAAAAAGGATACATCAATTTTCAATTAAGTTCATCCGATTACTAAAAACGGCAAATGTTTTTAATTCTGGTGAATTCTGAAGTTTGTCATTTTAGGTAATCATTAAAAGAAAATGTGTGATTTATTAAATTGTTTAAGATGAAACTGTGCTTTGCTAATTTTTTGTACTTCAGAAAATTAGTATATTCAAATTTTTAATTTTTTTACTCACATTTATTGATAAAACATATGTTAATAATTAATTGCTGGAATTGTTAATGCAATTATTCATTAGTCAACTGTATTCAAGACCAAATTATTCGCATTTGAATGTTTGCGCGTGTGCTTGAGAGCTAGAATTCTTCAAAATGTCTAAAGAAACTTGCATGTGCATAAACGTCGACTTCGGCAAGTTCTAAGTGCTTCTTCCGTTCAAGTATTACTTAGACTCGCGAATCAATGTTTGAAATTCGTGTTTTAAGCATGTTCTTAAGCACTCTTACAAAAGACTTCGGAAAGAAAAGAAAACAACATTTTGTCTTTGCATCTGGGAA